AATATTTTCAGTCCCCCCCCGCAAAAAAGAAGAAATAATAGGCATTTACCGTCGTTGTGGTGAACCTAGATTCTGAATTCAATACACGTTCCTCTTTTGATATAAGAGGTTGTAGCTTGGCAATGGTAACGTTTGTGACGCCTAATGGGTAGATAGACTTTTGATTAGAATGTTATCTCCGGTAACCCCGAAACTCAAAGCGAGACGAGCTGACCACGCATTGACAAAATAATAAATACGTTGTGTTTTGTGTTTATGTGTTTGTTTTTGTTTTAGGTGATTCCTTTCTGTCTTACAGCTTTTTTATCTGTCTGTGTGGTGATTGATTTGTTTTGTTTGCTTGTTTATTGTTTGTTTGTTTTTTGTTTGTTTTTTGTTGTTTTGGGCGGGTGAGATGGATATTTATTTAAAGCTCACGAAATATCGCACAAGACGGGTTTGTGACCAGAGTTTGGGGATAGGAAAGGGTGGTCGAGAGGGAGTTCTTCCTTCTGGCCCACCAGGGGGGAGGGTAATCAATAATTCACAGATGCGTGAGGGGCGGGAGAGCAGCAGTCACTTACCCCAGATAAATGTATGCATGCGGTCTGCGTTCTCTCGCGAGTTTTGTGCGGGCTAGTGTTTGATCTGAGAGGTAGGGGAACAGCAGCTTCCGAGTGTCGTGTGAGTGTCCTACGCGTGAAGGTAGGTGCTCTGGAAGCCTGGACACCACAGGCGTTAATTTGGCGGTTTCTTTGCGCGAACTGCGTTGTCGTGTCGTCATCTTTGAGAGTTGAGTCCGTTTGAGGGGTAGATGAGTGCACCAGATGTTTTGTTCTTGAAGATTGTTTACTTTTTTCGTGTGGATGTGATGTAACACTGTTAGATCATTTTTCTGAATGGAACTCGCTTGCATTGGGCTTTTTTCTTTGTTTTTTTTAGATTAGTGTCTTAAGTTCTTGGTTCTCAAGACGGTCGGAGCAGTTAGTTACCACCGAAATAATAAGCAGGCGTCTGTTTTTGCGTGTTATGTAGTGAAGTGGTTACATAGGGTGATTCCAGTAGAGGGATTATTTTTCAGTTTAGTCATCATTGGAAGAACCTTTAAACTTCATAGTGTGACCTGCTGCTGGCCGCAAAAAGTACAGCTCTAGAACCACGCATTGTGCATGGATAAGCAAAGGCTCGGGTATGTTTGTTCTTCTCTAAGGATTTTTTTGTACATCGTTGCTGGATTATTCTTATAATAATATAGTATATACACAGATGGAGTGTTACTTACTTTTTCATACTTTTCTACTCTGACTTATGGTGTTTGGATATTCGTGATATTCCGTTTCCCAGGAGACATGTTTGTGAATGATAAAGAAGCTTGTTCTTCACATGAGGTGTAAGTTTGTGGTCTTATGTCTTATTTCTGGATTTTATATCGGACTATTCCCACTCTCAAAGACAGTTATTGCGTTCTAGTGAAAGAAAAACTCATTATTGGATATCGATGTTGACTTCATCAAAGAGTTCTGTTGTCCTAAAAACCCACCATAATGATTTCTAGGAGAAACACGTCGACTATGTGGGAATCCCCTAAGAGTTGTCATCTGGGGCTGACGAACTGCCGCACCGTGTAGACTGAAGAGAAGATGTAAAATGTTGATAGCAGTTGACAAAAATGTTCTTTGTCTGCCATCGATCTTTTCCAAGCATTGCGGAGCTTGGTCATTGATTATACCTCCCGGTAATGGCCAAATCACTAGTAAAATGACCGGGAACCAGCAACATTACACTGAATGTGAGCTTCAGGAGTTTGGATTCACATCTAGATGCAGAGATGGGGACTGTCTCGTCAGCATTGACATTGACTTACCCCCATCAGCGCATCCGGAAAGACACCCGAGTTCGAATGAACGAGAATCGGTTTTCATCGGCGGAGGCAGCAATACTTCGGGTGAGTCATTTGGTGACATGGCGCTTGGACGAGACCCTAGGATTCAACGGAATTCTCGACTTCCTGACAACTCCTCGAGTAGCAACAGTAGCCAACTCGGGGCAGAAAGTCTCAATTCAGTTATAGAGACGCCGTGGCAAGAGGGTTTCTCCGGGTCTCAAACCTGCGGAGCGAGTGCGTCATCGCCTTGTAACGCTCACAAATTCTCAGAGAGTCAACAGTCAAGTTGTGAGTCTGCTAATAAAAGATCTCAGTGCAAAGTTCTAGGTCATCTGAACCCTGTATTGCCCTATGTGAACGTTTCTCAATCCTGCAGTCTAGCAGAACTGTGCCCACCGCCGCTATCCCCTCACCTGAGGACATGTGTATCTTTAGACTGCTGTAACTGCCCCCCAGCCGGCAACGCCTGTGTAGATTTAGACAGGACGCCAGTTCTCAAACCCACTTTGACGTTTTCTTCTCGTGATATAACACACTCGTTGTTGCGTTCAAATAAATTTGCAGGTGTTGGTTGTGACACTTTGAGAATTCACTCAGACCACAGACATGGATTGAGCAATTCGGTACCCGCCGTTATAGAGCCATCGGAAGTCAGACAGTCATCAGCCCCTTCTCTTAGAACCACTAGTAGTCTTTCAAAACTTGTCTCCAGAGAGTCTCCTTTGGAAAATGTGTTAGATCGTTTCTCTGTCTCCCCAGACACTAGTAACAATAAAAGACCCAAAGCAGGTTTTCTTTCTTCAGATTTGCTTTCATCAGATTTATTCGCCTTTCCGGGGAATGTAGGACCATTTAAGAATGTCCATGTACCCCATACCAGTTTATCCCAAGAAAATGTGACGCCACACCCTTTGCTAAAGAGTGATGCATGCAAAGATCTGCAGCAGCAATCTGGTTCTCAAAGTGTGCTGATTGACCCCTACCCCACACCCTCGCAATTAACACCTCATCCTCATGAATGTTCCGTTCATTTTTCCGTTGATGGTGACAGCCAATCGCACTGCTCAGCAAAACCTCGCAGAAATCGGAAGTATCATCGACGTGGATCTTTGGTCACTTTAAGAAAACAATCCCTAAAACTGAAATTCGGAAGAACGAAGAAAAAGTGTAGGGAAAAAATTAAGTCATCGAAAAGCTTCAAAAGTGGAAGTACCGGAGCTCTCAATGGTGCTTGTGGGGCCTCGCTACACGCCAATCCTCGTTGTGCCGGTCCCGAGACATGGTCATCTCACAGCACCCACCTTATAGAACGACACCCCAGCTCTCACGCATTCAAAAATGTACATCTGAGTCATATACGCTGTTCAACTGGGACTGTTAATGAGTCACATATAAAGCCTGAATGTCTTCTAGCTTCTCAAGAATATGCTTCTCAACTCTCTTCTGCGGGTAATTCATCTGCGGACCTGTCCAGGCAAGGATTCAAACACCATGCACCCGTACTTACAAGCAAACGGCCACGAGCGGATTTCAGCTTCCAGTGTCGGAAGCAACGAGACAGGTCTGGTCGGGGCCTTAAATCTGCATCATCCGGAGTGGTATGTACAATTTTGTATTCTAGGTATATATTTTTCGGGGCATGGCGGTAAGAGGAAATACGGGGAAAAGTTTGGGGGGG